CCCCACTACCAACAAAAAAAAAAGAGAGAGAGGAAGGGGGGAGAAGATGGAGAGAGAAAGGGAAAGAAAAAAGAGAGAGAAGAGGAGAGAAAAAGGAGGTTATTTTTCAGCCTGAAAGGCCTAAGCTACTGAAAAGCAGAAAAGGAGCTGGCAGAAAACAAGCATGGGTGCTGAGAATGGGTATGAGTATGCCAAAAAAGATTCCCCAGGAGGAAGTTGGGGGCAGGAGGGCAAAAGGTTGAAATCCCTTATTAGACAGAGCTGTGCTCATCTTGTCTTCATCTGGAAAATGAGTTTAATGCCAACCTCACAGAGTCCTTGTTAAGGTTAATGGGATGGTTAGTAAAAAGCAGTCACAGCCTGTGAGCCAGTGGCCCACACCTGTCATCCTAGCTACTCAGGAGGCTGAGATCTGAGTATCACGGTTCAAAGCCAGCCCAGGCAAGAAAGTCTGTGAAACTCATTTTCAGTTAATCACCAGAAACCAGAAGTGGCACTGTGGCTCAGAGTGATACAGAACTAGCCTTGAGTGAAAAGGTCAGAAACAATGCTTAGGCAGTGAGTTCAAGCCCCACGACAAAAAAAAAAAAAAAAAAAAAAGCAGTTAGCACTGTGTCTGCATAAACTAAAATGCTCAACATATGTTGCCTATTTTTATTTTATCTTTGGCAGTGATAGGATTTGAATTACAGGCCTTGCACTTGCTAGGCAAGCACTCTATAGTTAAGGCATATCTTAAGCCTTTTTGAGGTAGAATTGTCTCTTTTCGAGGTAGAGTCTTACTTTATGCCCAGGCCAGACTGCAATCCCCCTACTTCAGCTACCCTGTGCCACTGGGGATGAACAAACACATGCCACCAAGCACAGCCTTTGGTTAAGATGGAGTCTCACAGCCTGTGCCAGTGGCTCATGCCTGTCATCCTAACTACTCAGGAGGCTGAAATCTGAGGATCACAGTTCAAAGCCAGCCCAGGCAGGAAAGTCTATGAGACTCTTATCTCTAATTAACCACCAGAACACAGGAAGTGGTGCTGTGGCTCAAGTGATAGAGTACTTGCCTTGAGCTGAAGAGCTTAGGGACAGTGCCCAGGCCCAGAGTTCAAGCCCCAGGACCAAAAAAAAAAAAAGATGGCTTTCCAAGAAGTTATGATTCCAGGTCTGAGCCACCATGTACGTCTCGTTTTATTTTTTTTGGGGGGGGGCGGGTCGTGGGGCCTGAACTCTGGGCCTGGACAATGTCCCTCAGCTCTTCTTCTCAAGGCTAGTACTCTACCACTTGAGCCACAGCACCACTTCCAGCTTTTTTCTTTTTGCTTATGTGATGCTGAGGAATCGAACCCAGCCCTTGTTTTATTTTTATTCTCACTCAACAAAACAGCCAAGAATTGAGTTAGACTTTATGGCCTTTTCAGGTGTGCGGGGACATAGGGTCTGGGATCCCGATAGCATAAAATGTCTCTCTGTGCACCCCAGATGATGTTGAGCTATGTCTCTGGGGCAGAGCTGGAGCGCTGGGAGGGGATTCAAATCAAACAACCCCTTCCTTTCCACAGAAGACAAGTCTTGTATTCTAAGCTGCCTCTTGGAGCGCTTCCAACATCATGTGTAGAGAGAATGCACTTGGAGGCCGAGATCTGAAAATCACACTTAAAGCCAGCCTGGGTAGACAGATTTGTAAGACTTTTATCTCCAAAACTAGCAGAAAGCCAGAAGTAAAGGTATGGCAGAAAAACAAACAAACAAAACAACACAGGAGTACGAGGCCCTGAGTTCAAGCCCTAATATCGGCAGGCACACAGAAAATGTGACTCAGCACTGGCTTTTCTGAAGAGGTGGCCTACGCATTCCTATAACTAGGGACTTGTAAATAGATGAAGCAGGAGAGGTCTGGGCTGGAGGGATCAGCACCAGGAAATAGAAGCTGGGGAAGACAGGCTCCAGGGCCTGGAAGGATGAGATAGTAGGGGCATGGACAGTCTTAACTGACCCAACCACCCTGTGACCACCCTGCAAGGTGTTCTGCATCTCATGTCTCATCTCAGTGGGGCTGAGGCATCTGTGTGCTCTGCCTTAACAGGATCTTTCTCATCCCCAAATCCCCTTTCTCCGCCCCTGGCACGTCTCAGTCAAGGCACAGCTGGGATTCTGATTCACAACATTCTCAATGCCTCTTTCCTACTTTTAGAAGGTAACAATTTAGGAGGAGTTAAAACTCCAAATGTTGACTTTCAGGTTTTCCCAATGACTGGAAAGCACCCAGTAACAGTCCTTATAACCATTTCCCATAGTGTGCCAGACACAGCCCTGAAGGCTTTATAAAGTCTTCTTCGTTGCTCTCAAAAATCCAGCGAGATAGGCAGTTACTATAATCTTTTTTTTTCTTTCTTTTTTTATTTATGCCAGTACTGGAGCTTGAACTCAAGACCTCACACTCTCACTTGGTTTTTGGCTCAAGGTTAAGCACTCTGCTGTTTGAGCCACATCTCCACTTCTGGCTTTTTGCTGATTATTTTGAGAGGCGTCTCTCAGATGTCGTTTTAGGCTGGCTTGGAACCTGTGATCTTCAGATCTCAGCCTCCTGAGTAGCTAGGATTCCAGCAGCTGGTGTCTAGGTAACTTTTTGAAAGGGAGGGAGGGAGGGAGGGAGGGAGGAAGGAAAGAAGGAAGGAAGGAAGGAAGGAAGGAAGGAAGGAAGGAAGGAAGGAAGGGACTTCTTTAGTCACACTGTGTAAATGAGACATGGACACATGCCAACCAGTCACTTTATTCACTTAATGGCACTCATCATTTCAAATTATCTATATTCATCTGTTTCCTGTCACATTCTCTGAGAACAGAGATCCTTGCCTTCCCTGGTATTTAAAATACTCTCTGGCACCAAGTGAGATCCAAAGAAGGATTTACTGAAATATATGAAGGGACTCAGGAAAAGAGGAGTCCAGGATTCTGCCAACTAAAGGAGCTACCTCTGGAGAGACTAGGGGAGAGTTCTCTCATAAACTTGGGCTGATCCATCCCACATAGTTATGGCAAGAACAGGGAACAAAGTGGGAAGGAAATTTTTTTAACTGCACATATTTCTAGATTTGAATATTTGTCAGGTACATAGATTACTTTTATAATTTAAAAATAAAGCATACAGAATTAGGTAATTCTACCCCCTCTAACTCCTTAGGCCCAGACCCACTACCTATTATGTCTTCTAGGTTTCTCCCTGCAGCACAGTAGAAGATATTAGCACAGCCTCATTCCACAGAATAAGCTACGAGGAGCATTTGAAAACATTCTAAAGCAATGCAAAATATCAGAATTACCTGGGGTGCGCCTCTGAGATTCCCAACCCCAGAGCCAGATGTTGTGGGCTGGACAGAGAGCTGCATAGAAAATTCTTCCCAGCCATCCCAGCCAGCAGAGAATGACTGGCTTAAGAAACTCCTCAGGGATTTCTGCTTTGACTCTTGGACCTGTTGTTTTTGGTTTGTGCCAGTAGTAGGGCTTGAACTCAGAGCTTCATGCTCTCACTTGGCTTTTTCACTCAAAAAGTAGCATTCACCACTTGAGCCACACTCTCCATCTCCAGCTTTTTTGCTGATGAATTAAAGCTTAGAGTCTCATGGACTTTTCTGTACTGGCTGGCTTTGAACTGTGATTCTCAGATCTTAGCCTCCTGAATAGCTAGGATTACAGGCATGAACGACTAGACTTGGGTCTGTTTTTGTGGGGTTTTGGGGTTTTTTTTGGGGGGGGTCCAGACGTGGGGCCTGAACTCTGGGCCTGGGCACTGTCCCTCAGCTCTTCAGCTCAAGACTAGCGTTCTACCACTTGAGCCACAGCATCACTCCCGGCTTTTTTCTTGTTTATGTGGTGCTGAGGAATCGAACCCAGGGCCTCATGCATGCAAGGCAAGCGCTCTACCACTGAGCCACCTTCCCAGCCCTTGGGCCTGTTTTGAAACCAGGGAATTAATGCCTTCCTCAGAATCACTGCCCCAGTGTGTTTTGCAACTCTCACTCACTTTTGCTCAGGGTTGGTTACAAAACTACTTTTGTAACCGTTCCAGATTTAACTACAATACTTAGGGCTCTCCACCCCAGCCTTCCCCACTGGGGCATCTGTCAGTCAGCTGGTCAAGGGGGTAGTATCATAGCTACAAGCAGCAATTGGCCTAGCACAGCTGACAACTTCATAGTGGGAGCTTCTCAATCCCAGAAACAGCAGCCAAGATGAGATGCACTTTTCCATACAGCAGCAATCGGAGACACTTCAGTAAGAATGTAGGGCCAGAAAAAATGTGATACCACAGAAGCAGAGTTCTTCTTATAATAAGGAACTGGGTACTGGGCCATTTCCCTTTTTGACCTACCTACCAGGAAACCCAGGGATACTTATTTACTCTTAGAGCTAGTGCATTCATTTGTATATCTATCTTGGTTATCAAATTTCTACTTTCCTACCCTAGGTGGCAAGAGCAGTAGGCCTAGACAGTGCCACTGGATATTTAGTATTTTATTATACAGCAAGATATGTGTTTGATGATGTAGCCTATCTATGGGCTAAAGTGTATTGTGAATACATTTACAGTAGCCCAGGATAAGCCATGATGTGTGCGGTAGGCCAGGTGTATTAAATGCAGTTTTCACTTAAGATATTTTCAACTTATGATGAGTTTTCATGGATTTCAGAGGAGCTCACTGTAAGATGAAAAACTTCTGTATTTCCTTAAATGACTAATGTACTGTCCACCAGGTTGAGATAGCCCAGGGCAGAGATGCAGGCTGGATTATTTGCAGGACCTAATGCAAAGGTATCAGTGCCCTTGGATGAAGCTCCAGCTCTTCCTGACTTGCTGGCTCCCCCAGGGACCCTTATTCAAGCCACCCTTTTCTCCCTGGGTTGGAGTGAAGAAAAACCTCAACTTACTATACCCATCAAACCCTAGGCCCCACACTACCTCCTTCCACACTCAGGTCCCAAATAACCAGGCCACACACTGAATTTCAAGTATCTGTCTCTTCCTTTCACTCTCTCAAAAGAAAAAAATAAATAAATTGCAGAAGGCGGCAGCATTTCCAGTCTTCCCCTGGCTCCCAGACACCCGACCCCTGACCCCAGCCCTCCCACCTCCCTCCCACTTCCCCAGTCCCTAGACCCATCCCTCCCCTTTCCCAAAGAAAAAAGAAAAAAGTAAAAAGAAAAAAAAAATCCCAGGAAAAAAAAAAAAGCCACAGTTAGACCTTCCACTCATGCAAACCGGCAAAGAAAAAAGGTGGGGGGCAGGGGGGGGCATGTGGAAGGCAGGGAACCCACAGAAGGACCCCTTACTTCTCCCTCCAAAAACCACCTTTGAGAAGGAAAAAAAATGGAGAAAATAAATGAGAACTCAAGGGACGTGGGGAATTATGATGGGGGAGGGGCAGGGATGACCCCAGACCCTGCCTCAGGGGAGCGCAGAGGCCTGGGGCTCTGCATCCCTATTGAGGGTGTTCCTTGAGAGGACCCCCGACTTCTGGAATGTGTATGGGAGAAGATGGGGGAGGCAGCAGCCCCCAGTGGGTCTGTGTGTGCATTGGGAGAGGGCAGGGGGTGGGGTTCTAAGGAGCAAGGGCTTGAAGCCAGGAGCCCTGCTCCCCCACCCAGACCCCAGGTTCCTGGGGTTCAGGAGCCCAGTTCTGGGGTGCAGGGATACATGCAGAGGAGTGTCCCCCCCTCCAATAGGCTGGATCCAGTTAGAAAGGAAATAAATAAGAAGGAATGGGAGGGAGACTGGGGATGTATAGGGCTTGGGCAATTCAGTCCAGACCAAGGGCCCAGGCGATGGAGGCAGGGCGAGTCCAGGCCAAGCCAGGGCAGGAATCAGAGTCTCTCTCGGGCTGGAACCCAGATGTAGGGGCCTGAGAGGTCCTCGATGACACGCTTCACCTTGTGGTAAATCTCCTCAAAGCTGTCACCCTCCACGATGGCTAGGAGTGAATGCAACCGAGAGTTAGGCCAATGGTCCAAGGTTGTTTAACCAAAGGAAGGGGAGGAGCCCAGAGGAAGAAGTACCTTATTTTATATATATATATATATATTTTTTTTTTTTTTTTTTTTTTT